AGAATCCACACCAGCCAGTACAGCAGCCTCCCTGAGGTCCTCTCTCCAGTCTGTTGTGGGGAGCTGCAGCCCTGGGGGTGGGAGGGCCCTGATAAGGCTGGTGTTAAATGGCAGCTTCTGGGCTCTTAGATTCTGTGATCTGGGAGAGAATCTGTGGACCAGACTAGCCGGAACTTCCTGCAGGCTTGAGGACAGCGGGCTCGGGGCAGGCCCAGAACAGGCGGGGCTGCTGGCTCTGGGGCTGGCCCTGATTGGAGTTGTGCTGTGGGTCGTGGGGGTGAGGGTGATGCAGGTAGGGCAGGTAGGGGAGCTTAATGACTGAGCAGTGGTTAGGAAGGGAGGCGGGAACCGGGCAGGCATCCAGGCTGGCCAGGCCCTGTCTCCGGCACCCTTGGGGAGGCTGGGAAAGGGGTGGGAGTAGGCCGAGTCCATGGGGACAGCCTCTGGCCTGACTGGCTCTCCCTCTGCTCTTGTCCCGCAGACCCAGACCCGGTGGCTGCACTGCCCCAGACAGAGTAAGTGAACCTCGCTTCTTTGCTTTGGTGGCTGGAAAATCAGGAGAGGCCGGGTAAGGGGTGTGGGGACAGGGTGGAGCTGAGGCCAAGAGGCCCCGGACAGGGCTTCAGCTGAGGAGGAAGGCATTTCATTAAGACCCCTTCCTTGGCAGGGGAGAGGTCAGTTCCTAAAACTCATATTACATCCAACTTTATTTTGCCCACAGCCTGGGAAATAGCAGAAAACGGGCCTGACTCTAATCTCTGCCTCTGTCCCTTGCTAGCTGTGTGGCCTTGGAGGATTCACTGAAAGTCTCCAGTGTCAGTCTGTTCATAGGTAAATGGAAGCAGTGAAAGCACCCACTCTGTTGGGTTGTCACTGAGAACTAGATGACAGTCGGCACTCAGCACAGGGCCTGGCCCATTGTATAGTTTTTGCCATTGTCATTTGCTTTGCCAATACCATTTCTATTCCTGTGACTCCTGTTAGGGACCCTGCCCCTTGGAACCTGGGAGCCTGTCAGGGGCAGGGTAGTCTAATGGTTAAGGGCTTCGATGCTGGGGTGACTGCCTGTGTCTTAACCCCGGTCGTCCTGTGCTGGCCATGAGTTCCTGTCTAAGTCAGTCTTTCCAGGCTTTGGTTTTCTCATCTGTAAAATGGGCCGTTGGGTAAGATGCCTCGCCTCACAGTAGGTGCCTGTCTTTGGTTTTAGGCAAATCAGGTAGGGTTGGACTGCGCTTTTGGGGGCTTGGGCAGGATTTGGGTGCTCAGAGCTGCCTCTTCTAAGCAGTGGTCGGTCTAATGGCCAGGGGCATTTGGGGCCCTAAGTTTAAATCCTGGCTACCCTGGTGGGGGAGGGGTGTTCGAGCCTACCTTTGTCTTCCTGGGGTGAGCTAAGCAAGGAGGGCTAATTCTCAGGCAGGTGTTGCTCAGCAGGAGGTCTCAGAGATGCAGATTGCAGGCCCTGGGCCCCTGGAGGGGAAGGAGTCCTTGTACCTGTTAATTTGCTGTCCAGAGTAGGTGGACCCTGGGCGGGTTTCTGCTGGGCTTGCCACTGTGTAATTAAGGTCAGAATTAGGGGCCAGCCTCTCCTCCCTGATTAGGGACCTAAAATGAATCAGCAGTCATTCCTCCTGCACCTGGCTGGGGAGGTCTGCGATGGCTGCGATCTCCCCAGTGATTACAGCCCTCCAGGGTGAGCCAGGACGGAAGCTGCAGAGAAACTCAGTCTGGTGGGGATGCAGACTCATCAAAGGGGGACAGGGAAGGATGCCCAGGTGTTTTAGTCCATTTTGTGTTGCTATAACATAAATACCTGAGACTGGATAATTTATTAGGAAAAAAGGTTTATTTGGCTTACGATTCTGGGACAGCTGCGTCTGGCACGGGCCTCAGACTGCTTCTACTCATGGCAGAAAGTGGCAGGCAGCCAGCAGCGGGTACTAGTAGATCACATGGCGGGAGGAAGCAAGAGAGAGAGAGAAGGTGCCAGGGTCTTTTTAAGCAACGAGCTCTCGCGGGAACTAATAGAGCAAGAACTCAGTCATTAATCCCCCTTACCCCAGGGAGAGCATTAATCCATTCATGAGGGATCCGCCCCCATGACTCAATCAGTTTCCAACACTGCCACATTGGGGATCAAAATTCCACATGAGTTTTGGAGGGGACAACACATCCAAACTCCATCACCAGGGGACTGGGACACTGACTAGAAAGGGGCCAGGGTGGGGTGGGGTGGGGCAGTCAAGGAAGACTTCCGGATGAGATCTTGGCTGAGCAAATGAGCACAGTTGGGGGTGGGGGTGGGGAAGGGGCAGAGGAAGCCCCCGAGCAGAGATTGAGGGCTAGGAGCAGAGNGGGGAAGGGGCAGAGGAAGCCCCCGAGCAGAGATTGAGGGCTGGGAGCAGAGTGAACCCCTACCCAGATCTGGTGCTCTCGGTTCTCTCTCAAGCCACCCTCCTGGAGACACCCTCTGTCAGGAATGTGCAGCCCGGCCCCTCCTCTCCCTGCCTTCTCTCTGTGTCCTGTGGCCCAGCATCCTGCTGTGTCCTGGAGACCAGGCTACTGAGCTTGGGGTTGATGACTCTGCAGCCAGATCGTGTGTCAGGTCGGCTCCAGGCTCCATGCTGGGGCCAAGTGACCCAGTGTCCCCAGAGCTGGAGTAGACCATGTTGCTTTTCATCATCCTGATGGTTAGGATTGCTCAGAGTGGGCGAGGCACTTCTGGGCAAGGAAAGGGGCCTGGCCTCTGCAGCCCCATCTCCTATTCCAGACTCAACCTGGGGTTACCCCAGCTGTCTTGAACCCCATCTCCTGGAGGCACCAGGGCACGAGCTCAGAGGTTCAAATCCCCACTCAGTAGCTATGTGGCTTTGGGCTGCCTGTGACCTCTCTGAGCCCCAGTTTTCCCACCTGTTAGGTGGAAATAATGGCAACCACCTTGCAGCATGGTGAAGACTAGTGAGGCTGGTCAGGGAAGCGTCAGCCTCTCCTGAGTATGCACATTGTGTTCATTTGTGTTCCCGTGTCCTGTCCAGCTTGGATGCTTCCAGGGTGATGGGGTTTGTGTGCCCAGTGCCTGGGATTCTGGGGTGGGCCTGGATTGCTGGGGCCACGTCTCACCAGTAGCGGTAGTGAAGAAACATCACTGTGGAGTGCTCTAACCAGGGCGACAGGGCTTTCACTGTCATTTACTGGGCAACAGTGATGGAACATGCGCTCCCTGTAGAGCACTAATCAGCTGAGGAGTCCTAAGGGGCCTCCATTCCAGCCCCTTAATTTTACACATGGGGAGATTGGGACTTGCCTGAAGTCACACAGTGACATTGCTGGTGGCCTCCTGACTCATTGTCTAGTGCTCTTTACGCTGCCCCCCGCTTCATTCCCTCCCTTCCAGGCCTCCATTTACCTAAGTTCCAGCTGCTTCCCTGGGTGGTGATTTTCCACCCTGAAGTCCTCTGGGAGAAGAATCAATACAGATCCCTTTCCTCCTCCTTGTTATCCAAGAGAAAGGAAGAAAAATCTTGATTTTCTTTTTTTAAAAACTTCCCCAAAGGTGGTCACTGCACACACACTGCTTTGAATAAACAAATCTCAAAGTGGGGGACATTTCACCTCTTCTCACTGCATTTCCTCCACGGCCCCTGCTGGGAGGTTTGGAAGTGGCCTTGGACTTTGCCTGGCAGTCTACCTGGCTCCCCAGCTCCCCGAGGCTCCAGGTAACGCAGTTAGAATAACTGCCCAGTTCTGCAGAGCTTTAGTCTCAAAGTGACCTCACTCCCGGGCCAGGCCTAGCCCCCCTCCCTGCTGGTGAGGAAGTGAGATGCCCAGCAGGAGTGTGGTTGGTAAGTGAGGGACAGAGTCTGGGTCTTCCAGGGTCTGGGGACTTGGGCTGTGCACCATGGAGGTGGCTTTGGGTGTTGGCTTTGCTATTCACTAGATGTGTCATTGAGCAAGTGGCTTCCTGTCCCCAAGCCTCACATTCTTAATCAGTAAAATGGGGATACTAAATCTACTCTCCTGCAGGGCTCTGTGTGGCATAAACAAGTTAGCAGATACAGTGCTTGGTCTGGCTGGCCCGTGCCACCCACGTTCAATGTACTTGCTGTAGTTATTCTGGAGCTGGTGGAGCTCTGTACCCTTGGGAGCCAGATAGACTTGGGTTTGATGTGGCGTTTACCCACAAGCTGTGGGACATGGGCCAGCCATCCCGCGAGTCTGTGTCCCCTGTCTCCATAGTGGAGAGAGTCACACCTGATGGGCCATGCAGGTGACCTTGGAAGGCAGCTGCATGAGGAAGGAGTGGGATGTCAGGTCATCTCTGGCTTTGAAGCCTGTGGGCTTCCCTTTCTCTTCATGTGCTTGGCTGGGTCACTGAGGGAGGCAGCCAGGCTACTACGGGGTAATCCCAGCTGCTGGTATTGCTGGGTGTGTGTTGCCACCGAGGCCCATGGGGCAGTTTTAGAGTTGGGCCACCCTGCTCTACCATCCCAAGGACTGAGGATGGCCGGGAGCTTGTTCTTCCCACTGCTGGGAGAAAACAAACTTCAAAGTGCTCGGTTAACTGGTGGCACATTCTCTTTCCTCAATGGGACATATCTGTTAGCAGATAATAGTAATAATAGCAGCAGCAAGTAATAATAGCAATAATAATAATCGTGTCCACCGTGTACCAGGCACTGGGCTATGCCCAGGCCCATTACTCCTTCCATCTCTAGGAAAGAGACACTGTCATTACTCATTTTGCAGATGGGGAAATTGAGGCTCAGGGAAGTTAGGGGGTGTGCCCAGGGTTACACATAGATAGTACATGTTCATTCAGAGCAAAGATTAGAACCAAGGCTCCTCTGACCTGGAGGCCAGGCTCTCGACCACTGGGCCACCCTGCCTCCAGGAACTCCTGCCTTGGTTCACGGAGGGAGGGTGTGGCTGGCTCCATATGAATGATCCCATTGTGTGTGTGTTTATCCGGGTAAGGATTTTGCCTGCTAAGAGATGATCTCTGAGCTCTGGGGAGAATGGGTTCCAAGTAGTTGGTGGAATGTTCCAAAGAACTGCCTGGAGTGTGATTCTGGGTCAGGCCCCTTCTCTTGAAATGAGAGCAGGGTAAAAGCAGCCCCTCTCCCCACTGCACAGAGGTCTTGTGAGGGTGAAGGGGTGTGGAGATGGGTCTCCTCACCTGCAGGTCACCTCCATGGGGACAGGAACCTTTCGTTTTTGTTGGGGGAAGATATTTTGTTTGCTGCTGTGTCCTCATGTTTAGCATTGTGCAAGGGCAGGGTGAGTGCTGACTATGTCCTTGTTGAATGAATGGTGGACAGAAGGACAAAGTGGGGGTCTGAAAGGTGACTTTCAGCATCTCCATGGAAATAAAGAAAAAACAGTCAGCATGGCAATGACATCTCTGAACCTAGATTCTGACTCTGGCAGCTGCTGGGGCCAGGACAGAGGTTGGGGAAGGGAGGCTCAGAGTGGATGAGGGGACTGAAAGCCACACAGCTGGAGTCAATGACCCCACTGG